ACGCCGGGAAGGGGGAAACGGGGACAGGAGGGGCTCAGGGGCGGGTGGAGGGATGGAATTCTTTGCTCCCAGGGCTGCGTGGAGGTGTCTGGGAGCTCAGGGATGAGGGGATTGGGGTGTTCACCCTGGAGAAGGGGAAGGATCCAGGGAGACCTTGGAGCCCTTTCCAGGGCCTGAAGGGGCTCCAGGAGAGCTGGAGAGGGACTGGGGCCAAGGGCTGGAGGGACAGCACCCAGGGAATGGCTTCCCAGGGTTAGGTGGGATAGTGGGAAGGGATTCCTGGCTGGGAGGGGCTGGGATGGAATTCCCAGAGGAGCTGTGGCTGCCCCATCCCTGGGAGTGTCCAAGGGCAGGCTGGAGCACCCTGGGATATGGGAAGGTGTCCCTGCCCATGGCAGGGGGTTGGAATGGATGATTCTTAAAATTCCTTCCCGCTCGAATCGTTCCACTGGAACCAGGCTGGGAAAACTGGGAATATCCAGCCTGGAGAAGGGAAGGATCCAGGGAGACCTTGGAGCCCCTTCCAGGGCCTGAAGGGGCTCCAGGAGAGCTGGAGAGGGACTGGGGCCAAGGGCTGGAGGGACAGCACCCAGGGAATGGCTTCCCAGGGTTAGGGGGGATAGTGGGAAGGGATTCCTGGCTGGGAGGGTGGGGAGGGGCTGGGATGGAATTCCCAGAGGAGCTGTGGCTGCCCCTGGATCCCTGGGAGTGTCCAAGGCCAGGTTGGATCCCCCTGGGATGGTGGGAAGGTGTCCCTGCCAACAGCAGGGGATGGGAATGGATGATCCTGAAGGTCTCTTCCATCCTGGAATTCCCTGATTCCAAGGTGAACCAGTCCCTAACTATTCCCTCCCCGATCCTGACCCTGCTCTGCTCCCCTGGCACATCCAGGGACTCCCTGTCCCTCCGTATTCCCGGTATCCAGAGGCTCCTGGAGCTGCTCCCCCAGGACCTGCCGAGCAGGATCTGGGCGGGGGGGTGATGGGATTTTTCATGGAGCAGGGAAAACAGAGGAGCTGTTGCCGTGGAAAAGCTCGGGAGGAGCAGCCCAGGGACCCTTTTTTAAGCCCCGGGGGACAAAATCCCCACAAAACCAGGGGGTTGGGATTTAATTATTCCCAAAAGATGGCGGGAACGACTCCGTTCCCGGCACAGGGAATTCAGGGCAGTCCGTGGGATCTGTGGGGGATGTGCCAAGGCCGGGAACGACCCAATAAAGGGGGAAAAGGGAGCTGGGAGAGCAGGAGGAGCCGAGGGAAGGGGGGTCAGGAAGTTCAGGGAATGGGACTGAGCAGCCACATCCCGGGATGCAGGGAAAGGCCGCTGAATTCCCTGTGGAATGGGAGAACCTCTGCCAGGGAACGGGAACCCGAGGGGCCCCAAAAAACTGCGGATTTTTTTAGGGATCCTCTCCCTGCGTGGTCTGGGATAAACCTGGGATAAAGCTGGGATAAAGCTGCTGCTCTCAGTTTTTCGGGAATGCAGCTGCTTCCTGCACCCCCTCGCCTGCGCAGCAGGTTGGGAAGGGCGGGCCCAGCTCCCCCCGCTCCCAGGAATTTGTAATTCCATAGGATGGAGCAGCCGGGTTTCCTTGCGGGAAGCAAACTGTGCCCCCCCAAACCCCCGGAGGTTCCCACTGGAAGGAGGAGGGAATGTCGCTTGGAATAAGGAATCAGAGCCGAGCAAACCCAACCCAGAGGGCAGCTCCCGAACCAAAACGCTCCGGAGGGACAATCCCGAGGCTCCGGAAAAACCCCGGCTGAGGGAACGGGGCCCGAGCTCGCGGCTCTGCGTCCGACCCCAGGCGTTTTCCAGGGAATTCCCAGCGGGATAACAACGTCCTGACGGGGTTTGGCCGCTCGGGAACACGAGCTTTCCAGGGTTTTGTTTTTTTTTTTTTTGGGAGCGGGATCCCACCTTCCGTCCAGGCTCCCGCTGGGAGAGGCCGAGGGGCTGGACTGGGCCAGTTCCGTCACGTCGGAGATGATGGGGCCGGAATTGGCCGAGGAATCCGGGGAATACAGGTTGGAGCCGCTGTAGGCGGGGGAGGAGGCCTGGAATGACAAGCACAGGGGCCGTGGGGAAGCGGCACCGGGCACGGAGAGCCCGGAATTCCGTCGGGAACGGGGGGGGGGGCGAGGGGAGCCCCCGGAATTCCCGGGGGAAGGAGAGGTGCGGCCCGAAATCCCGACAGGGGAGGAAGGAGGAATCCCAAAATTCCACGGAGGGGGAGGCAGGGCGGGATGCCGAGATTCCAGAGGGGGAAGGAAGGTGGAGAGGGATCCCAAAAATCCCAGAGTGGGATCCCAAAATCCCAAGAAGGTGGGAGGGTGTGGCCCGAAATCCCGGTGGAGGAGGCGCAGACATCCCGAAATCCCAAAGGGGGAGGAAGGGGGTGGGATCCCAAAATCCCAAGGGGGAAGGAGGAATCCCAAAATCCCAAGGAGGATGGGGAGGGTAGGACCCCAAAATCCCGACGAGGGAGGAAGAGGCATCCCAAAATTCCACGGAGGGGGAGGCAGGGCGGGATGCCGAGATTCCAGAGGGGGAAGGAAGGTGGAGAGGGATCCCAAAAATCCCAGAGTGGGATCCCAAAATCCCAAGAAGGTGGGAGGGTGTGGCCTGAAATCCCAGGGGAGGAGGCACGGACATCCCGAAATCCCAAAGGGGGAGGAAGGGGTGGGATCCCAAAATCCCAAGGGGGAAGGAGGAAGGTGGGATCCCAAAATTCCAGGGAGGAAGGAGGTGGGATCCCAAAATTCCAGGGAGGAAGGTGGTGGGATCCCAAAATTCCAGGGAGGAAGGAGGTGGGATCCCAAAATCCCAAGGAGGGAAGGGGTTGAAATCCCAAAATCCCCAGGAGGGAGTTGGAATCCCCAAATCCCAAGGAGGGAAGGGGTTGGAATCCCAAAATCCCAGGGAGGGAAGGGGTTGAAATCCCAAAATCCCAAGGAGGGAAGGGGTTGGAATCCCAAAATCCCAGGGAGGGAAGGGGTTGAAATCCCCAAATCCCAGGGAGGGAGGGAGGTGGAATCCCAAAATCCCAGGGAGGGAAGGGGTTGAAATTCCAAAATCCCAGGGAGGGAAGGGGTTGAAATTCCAAAATCCCAGGGAGGGAAGGGGTTGAAATTCCAAAATCCCAGGGAGGGAAGGGGTTGAAATTCCAAAATCCCAGGGAGGGAAGGGGTTGAAATTCCAAAATCCCAGGGAGGGAAGGGGTTGAAATTCCAAAATCCCAGGGAGGGAAGGGGTTGAAATTCCAAAATCCCAGGGAGGGAGTTGGAATCCCGAAATCCCAAAATCCCAGGGAGGGAGTTGAAATCCCAAAATCCCAGGGAGGGACTGAGTTGAAATCCCAAAATCCCAGGGAGGGAAGGGGTTGAAATCCCCAAATCCCAAGGAGGGAAGGGGTTGAAATCCCCAAATCCCAGGGAGGGAAGGGGTTGAAATCCCAAAATCCCAGGGAGGGAGGGAGTTGAAATCCCAAAATCCCAGGGAGGGAAGGGGTTGAAATCCCAAAATCCCAGGGAGGGAAGGGGTTGAAATCCCAAAATCCCAGGGAGGGAAGGGGTTGGAATCCCAAAATCCCAGGGAGGGAAGGGGTTGAAATCCCCTAAAACACCTTCCAGTTGTTTCTTTCTTCAGTTATTTATTTCCTTTCTGATTTTCTTTAATTTTCGTTATTTGTATAACAAAGACATTTTTATTTATTAATTTTTTAAAATTTATTATTTTATTTTTATTATTTCTATAATGAAGTATTTTCGTTTATTTATAATTTTATTGTTTTATTTTTTACGTTATTCAATTATTATTTTATTTACTTCACTTATTGACTTTATTTTCATTATTTGAATATCGAATTTTTCAATTTACTGATTTATTTTCGTAATTTGATTTCTATTTTCATCATTTTTATAACAGATAAGTTTTATTTATGCAGTATTTTATTATTTTATTCATTTTTTATTCATTTTTAGTTATTTATTATTTTATTTAGTTTGTTTTATTTATTTTTATTTATTTTGTTAATTTTTAGTTTTATTTAGTTATTTATTATTTTATTTAGTTTGTTTTATTTATTTTTATTTATTTATTTTGTTAATTTTTAGTTTTATTTAGTTATTTATTATTTTATTTAATTTTTATTTTTATTTAGTTATTTATTTTTATTTTTATTTAGTTATTTATTATTTTATTTAATTTTTATTTATTTATTTTGTTAATTTTTAGTTTTATTTAGTTATTTATTATTTTATTTAATTTTTATTTTTATTTATTTTGTTAATTTTTATCTTTATTTAGTTATTTATTTTTTATTTAATTATTTTTATTTTTATTTAGTTATTTATTATTTTATTTAATTTTTATTTATTTAGTTATTTTTATTTTTATTTAGTTATTTATTATTTTATTTAATTTTTATTTTTATTTAGTTATTTTGTTAATTTTTATTTTTATTTAGTTATTTATTTTGTTAATTTTTATTTTGTTAATTTTTATTTTTATTTCGTTATTTATTATTTTATTTAATTTTTATTTTTATTTAGTTATTTCATTAATTTTTACTTTTATTTAGTTATTTATTATTTAATTTCATTTTTATATTTATTTAGTTATTTATTATTTTATTTAATTTTTATTTTTATTTAGTTATTTCATTATTTTTTATTTTTATTTTGTTATTTTTTATTTAATTTCATTTTTATATTTATTTAGTTATTTATTATTTTATTTAATTTTTATTTTTAGTTATTTATTTCGTTAATTTTTCATTTCTATTTAGTTATTTACTATTTTATTTAGTTCTTTACTATTTTATTCAGTTATTTATTTCCCACTAAACCCCTCTTTTGCTCCAAACCAGAAATCCCCACGTGAGGAACGCCGGGATGGAATTCCAGAGCCCGGGAATACAGGGAATTCCAGGAAATGCTGCTCTTGGATACCAACCAAGGAGCAAATCAATTGGGAATGACCTGGATCCCCTCTGGGGCACTCCAGGACACAAAGGACATTCCAGGAGCGCTGGAATTCCAATGGGAATGTGGGAACAGCCCAATCCTTCCTTCCCTGCAGGTGAATTCCTGTCCCCCCCCCCGACATTCCCTGGGCTCCAAATCCCGGGATTGGCTCATCCAGCCCCACCTTTTCCAGCCCCTCGGCTCCCCTGGCAGGGAAGAATCCTCAGGAAGGAGGGAAAATGGTTCCCTGTGGCCGCAGGGAAGGGGGGAAACAGGGATATGGAGCCGGAATCCGGAGCGCTCCGTGTGTCCCGGGCTCATCCCACGGCGTGGGAAGCAGGGAAAGGGGGAATTCTGCCCCTCTGCCCCCTCGGGTGAGACCCCCCTGCAGCTCTGGGGCTTCCCAACATTCCTGAAGGACGGGGAGCTGCTGGAGGGAATCCAGAGGGGACACGGAGCTGCTCCCGGGGCTGGAGCCCCTCTGCTCTGGAGCCAGGCTGGGAGAGCTGGGAATGTTCACCTGGAGAAGGGAAGGATCCAGGGAGACCTTGGAGCCCCTTCCAGGGCCTGAAGGGGCTCCAGGAGGGCTGGAGAGGGACTGGGGCCAAGGGCTGGAGGGACAGCACCCAGGGAATGGCTTCCCAGGGTTAGGTGGGAGAGTGGGAAGGGATTCCTGGCTGGGAGGGCGGGGAGGGTCTGGGATGGAATTCCCAGAGAAGCCGTGGCTGCCCCATCCCTGGGAGTGTCCAAGGGCAGGTTGGATCACCCTGGGAGAGTGGAAAAGTGTCCCTGCCCATGGCAGGGGGTGGGAATGGATGATCCTGAAGGTCCTTTCCCACCCAAACCATTCCATGTTTTGTGCCAGCCGGGCCCTGCAGACACCCCAAAGTCCTGGAACGCTGGATTATTATTCCCTGTTCCAAATCCCAGCGTTTGGGGCACTCCCTGTTTCTCCCAGTCCGGGGCTGCACTTGGAGCACCAAGGACAGGCTGGATGGGCCGGGGGGGCCCAGAGGATCCATCCCCACACTGAGGGGGTTTTTTTGGGAAAACACAGCCGGCACCGACTGAGCTGAGCTGGTTTTTTGGGAATACATAACTGATTCGATCCCTGGCAAAGCAGAGACTCCGGAATTGCCAGGATCCCCTTCCCTCTCACTGGCAGCTCACTCCAAAACACCCCCAACTCTCCTTTCCCAGTCCAATCTGGAGCTGAAAATCCCAATCCCGGGCTCCTGGAAGGGCTCCCGTGGCTCCGGGGGAAGATTTGCCGCCCTTGGAAAGGGAGATCAGAGGATGGAGGGAACTGGAACGGGATCAGAGAGCGGCTCCGGGGTGGGCTGAGGCCGGGGGGGGGCTGGAATGGGCTCGGCTATTCCGGGATTCTGCTCAAAAATTCACCAGGATCACCTCGGGGCTCCAGGGAGTCGGGAGGGGAGAGCCAGAGGCCCAAACCCTGGGAATGGAACGGGATGTTCCCAGGCAGGATCAGACCCGGGAACTGGGACAGCTCTGGTGCTGCAACAGAGCTCAGCTGGAAAGCTCAGGATGTTCCCAGCTGGAATGTTCTGCTCCTGGAATACAGCAGTGCCAGAGGATCCGGGTAACGGAGGCTGGAGCCAGGCTGGGAGAGCTGGGAATGGCCAGTCTGGAGAAGGGAAACTCCAGGGAGACCTTGGAGCCCCTTCCAGGGCCTGAAGGGGCTCCAGGAGAGCTGGAGAGGGACTGGGGCCAAGGGCTGGAGGGACAGCACCCAGGGAATGGCTTCCCAGGGTTAGGTGGGATAGTGGGAAGGGATTCCTGGCTGGGAGGGTGAGGGGGTGAGGGGCTGGGATGGAATTCCCAGAGAAGCCATGGCTGCCCCTGGATCCCTGGGAGTGTCCCAGGCCAGGTTGGATGGGCTTGGAACAACCTGATCCAGCTGCACAAGTCCCTGCCCATGGCACAAGGGTGGAATTGGATGGGAATTACGGCCCCTTCCCACCCAAACCAGCCTGGAATTCTGTGATTCCCTGCGTCTTGCAGGACACCCCCTCATCCCCAGAGCTGCTCCCTGCTCTCATCCCAAGGCTTTTCCAACCCACAGCCTCTGGGATTATCCCGTGCACAGGCACCACTTGGCTCTGCTCCACAATTCCCACCTTGCTCCCGGCTCCGTGGACACAAATCCGCTGCCAGGAGCGGGATCTTTGCCCCAACCCCCCTTCCCTGTCCAGCCTCCCCTGGGAATTCCGAGCCAGGGGCTCTGGCTGGGCTGGGATGCAGTTGCCACCCTGAAGGGCTTTGCCAATCCCAAAGGAGAAGGGGAGGGAAAGGTTTACAATGGGAAAACCACTGGAAAAGAGCCCAAAACAGGGCCTTGTTCTCCTTTCCACAAATCCAGGGCCTTGTTCCCCTCTCCATAAATTCAGGGCCTTGTTCCCCTTCCCACAAATCCAGGGCCTTGTTCCCCTTCCCACAAATCCAAGGCCTTGTTCCCTCTCCACAAATCCAGGGCCTTGTTCCCCTCTCCACAAATCCAGGGCCTTGTTCCCTTCCCACTAATCCAGGGCCTTGTTCCCCTTCCCACAAATCCAGGGCCTTGTTCCCCTTCCCACAAATCCAGGGCCTTGTTCCCCTTCCCACAAATCCAGGGCCTTGTTCCCTTCCCACAAATCCAGGGCCTTGTTCCCTCTCCACAGATCCAGGGCCTTGTTCCCTCTCCACAAATCCAGGGCCTTGTTCCCTCTCCACAAATCCAGGGCCTTGTTCCCTCTCCACAAATCCAGGGCCTTGTTCCCTTCCCATAAATCCAGGGTCTTGTTCCCTCTCCACAAATCCAGGGCCTTGTCCCCTTCCCACAAATCCAGGGCCTTATTCCCTTCCCACAGATCCAGGGTCTTGTTCCCTCTCCACAAATCCAGGGTCTTGTTCCCTCTCCACAAATCCAGGGCCTTGTTCCCTTCCCATAAATCCAGGGTCTTGTTCCCTCTCCACAAATCCAGGTCCTTGTCCCCTTCCCACAAATCCAGGGCCTTGTTCCCACAGCTCCAGGTCCCCTCCCGCTCCAGCAGCACTCACTGCGTAGGGGGATGATCCATGGACGTGCTCCAGGGAATACTGGCGGCTGTACTTGGGCATGGAATGTGCTGAACTGCTGTCGTTCAACATCAGGGGGCTGCGGGAATTCCCAAGAAACACCGGAGTCACACACTGGATCCCAGGGATCGGGAACATCCCATCCCACAGAGCCCCCCCCCGGGACAAGGGACAGCTGTGCCGGGTCTGGGTGAATCCAGAGGGGCAGGAGGACACCGGGATGGGCCACAGGGAGCCAGGACAGGGATCCTGGAGAAGGGAAAACCCAGGGAGAGACCTGGATCCACACCCACAGGCACTGGGAACCCAGCCCAGGAGAGACTCGGAGCTGCTGGAGTGAATCCAGAGGGGACACGGAGCTGCTCCCAGGGCTGGAGCCCCTCTGCTCTGGAGCCAGGCTGGGAGAGCTGGGAATGTTCCCCTGGAGAAGGGAAGGATCCAGGGAGACCTTGGAGCCCCTTCCAGGGCCTAAAAGGGGCTCCAGGAGAGCTGGAGAGGGACTGGGGCCAAGGGCTGGAGGGACAGCACCCAGGGAATGGCTTCCCAGGGTTAGGTGGGATAGTGGGAAGGGATTCCTGGCTGGGAGGGTGGGGAGGGGCTGGGATGGAATTCCCAGAGGAGCTGTGGCTGCCCCATCCCTGGGAGTGTCCCAGGGCAGGTTGGATCACCCTGGGAGAGTGGAAAAGTGTCCCTGCCCATGGCAGGGGTGGCACTGGCTGGGAATTAAGGTCCCTTCCCAGCCAACCCACGCTGTGACTCCCTGATTCCAGGATTCCCTGATGTTGGGGAACACAGGGAGCCCCCGGGGCTGCTCTCTGCTCTTTGCCAAGCGGGAATGTGGATCCTGGGAATGTGAATCCCGAGGCCTTGGAGGGCTTTTCCCAGCCCCTGGTCTCCCCCTCGTGTTGTGCCAGAGCTGTGCCTGTCCCTTCCCTGTCCTGCATTCCCACTGCTCCAGGCACGGGGGGCCCGGCCCATCCATCTTTTCCAGGGGCTGAGGGCTCTGGAGGAGCCGTTTGTCCTCCCCAGATCCATCATTTCCACCTCCCCCCTGCTCATTAACGCTAATTAAGCTGCTGCCAGATGGTGCCCAGAGCCAGCCCTGCCATTCCACAGGAACCCCGGGATGAGCCGGGAGCGGGAACACGGACGGGATCCGGATCCCCTCGTGCGGGAACCGCCGGGAAAAACCAGGGGGAGGGGGAGGAATCCACCTCCCAAATCCCAGGATTCCCAGTCCTGCCCCCTGCGAGGCTCCCAGGGATCCGGGAGATCCCAACTCTGCCGGTCCTGCCTTTGTCCCCCTGGAATTTTTCCGTGGATGCAGGAATGCAGACTCACATCTTCCTCTTGACCCCGAGAATTCGGTTGGATTGCACCAAGGAAATCAGGAACTGGATGAGCTGTGGGGGGGAAAAGAGGGAAAAGCTGTTAGGGGAGGGCTGGGAAAAGGGGGAGAAGGAGCTCAGGGAGGAGGGAAACAGGGAAAAACTGGAGAGAAAGAGCTCTGGGAGGAGAAAAACAGGGAAAACTGGAGAGAAAGAGCTCTGGGAGGAGGAAAATGGGGAAAAACTGGAGAGAAAGAGCTCTGGGAGGAGGAAAAGAGGGAAAACCAGGAGAGAAAGAGCTCTGGGAGGAGAAAAACAGGGAAAACCAGGAGAGAAAGAGCTCTGGGAGGAAGAAAACAGGGAAAAACTGGAGAGGAAAATGGGGAGAAAAACTGAGAAGAGGAAAATGGGAAAACTAGAGAAAAAGGGCTCTGGGAAGAGAAAACCAGGGAAAAACTGGAGAGAAAGAGCTCTGGGAGGAAGAAAACAGGGAAAACCAGGAGAGAAAGAGGTCTGGGAGGAGGAAAACAGGGAAAAACTGGAGAGAAAGAGCTCTGGGAGGAGGAAAACAGGGAAAACCAGGAGAGAAAGAGGTCTGGGAGGAGGAAAACAGGGAAAAACTGGAGAGGAAAATGGGGAAAAAAAACTGAGAAGAGGAAAATGGGAAAACTAGAGAAAAAGAGCTCTGGGAAGAGAAAACCAGGGGAAAACTGGAGAGAAAGAGCTCAGGGAGGAGGAAAACAGGGAAAACCAGGAGAGAAAGAGCTCTGGGAGGAGGAAAATGGGGAAAACTGGGGAGAAAGAGCTCTGGGAAGGAGGAAAACGGGGAAAACCAGGAGAGAAAGAGCTCAGGGAGGAGGAAAACAGGGAAAAACTGGAGAGAAAGAGCTCTGGGAGGAGGAATAAAGGGAAAAACTGGAGAGAAAGAGCTCTGGGAGGAGGA